AAATTAAAAAGTTACTCTAAAAATGTTTTAGATTCCACACAGATTATACACTATTTGTCTTTCTGTCTTATTTCATTTAGCATAATGCCCTCCAGTTTCATCCATGTTGTCACAAATGACAAGATTTCCTTCTTTTTAGGGCTGAATAATACTTGATTGTACATATATATACATTTTATGCATTCTTCCATCAGTGAACACTTAGGTTGCTTCCATGTCTTGGCTATTGTAAATAATGTGGCAATGAACATGAGGGTGCATCAATCTTTTTGAGTTAGCTTTTTCATTTTCTTCAGATAAATACCTAGAAGTGGAATTGCTGGATTTATATGGTAGTTCTATTTTTAGTTTTTTGGGAAACCTCTATGTTTTCCATAGAGGCTCTCACCAATATTACACAAGAGTTCTCTTTTCTCCACATCCTTGCCAACGCTTGCTATTTTTTGCCTTTTTCATAATAGCCTTTCTCATGGGTGTAATGTAATAGCTCATTGTGGTTTTGACTTTCATTTCCCTGATGATTAGTTATGTTGAGCACCTTTTCATGTATGTTGGCAATCTGAATATCTTCTTTGGAAAAATGCCTATTCAGATTATCTGCCCATTTTAGATGGTTATCTTGTATAAATTCTTTACATACTTTGGATATTAAGCCCTTATCAGATACAGTATTTGCAAATATCTTCTCCCATTCTTTTTCATTTGACTGATGGTTTTCTTTGCTGTGCAGAAGCTTTTTAGTTTGTTGTAGCCCTATTTATTTATTTTTGCTTTTGTTGCCTTTGCTTTAGCGTCAAATCCAAAAAATCATTGCCAAGATTGATATCAAGGAACCTACCACCTGTGTTTTCTTCTAGGAAGTTTATGATTTCAGGTTTAATCTCCAACTCTTTAATCCATATTAACTTTTGTGTATGGTGTAAGGTAGTGATCTAGTTTTCCCAACATCATTTATTTAAGAGACCGTCTTTCCCTATCGTATATTTTTGGTTCCTTTGTTGTAAATTAACTGACTATATATACATGGGTTTATTTCTAGGTTCTCTATTCTGTCCTACTGATCTATACGTATGTTTTAATGTCAATACCATAATGTTTTAATTACTATACCTTTGTAATACAGCTTGAAATCAGGAAGCATGATACCTCTAGCTTTATTCTTTCTCAACACTGCTTTGGCTATTCTGGGTCTTTTGTGGTTCCATACAAGTCTTAGGATTGTCTGTTCTATTTCTGTGAAAAATGCCATGGAAATTTTGATAGAGATTGCATTGAATGTGTAGATTCCTCTGGATAGTATGGGCATTTTAACAATATTAATTCTTCCAATCTGTAAGCACGGAATATCTTTCCATTTATCTGTGTCTTCTTCAATTTCTTTCACCACGCTTATAGTTTTCAGTGTACAGGTCTTTTACCTCCTTGGTTAAATTTATCCCTAGGTATGTTTTTTCTTACTATGCAACTGTAAATGGGATTATTTCCTTAATTTCTTTTTCTGGTAGTTTTTATTAGTGTATAGAAATGCAGATTTTTGCATATTGATTTAGTATGCTGCAATTTTGCTGAATTCATTGATCAATTCTAAGTTTTTTGGTGGAGTCTTTAGGGTTTTCTATATGCAACATCATGTCATCTGCAAATAGTGACAATTTTACTTCTCCTTAATTTGGATGCCTTTCTTTCCTAGCTCTGGCTAGGATTCCAATACTATATTGAATAAGAGGTGAGAGCAGGCACCCTTGTCTCATCCCCAAGCGTATGATTAGCTGTGGGCTTGCCATTTATGGCCTTTATTTTTAATATTTGGCCATGCTGGGTCTTAGTTGTGGCACATGGAATCTTTGTTGCCGTGTGCAGGATCCGTTTTTAGTTGTGGCATGCAGGATCTAGTTCCCCGACCAGGGATCGAACCTGGGCCCCCTGCAATGGGAGCACAGAGTCTTAACCAGGGGACCACCAGGAAAGTCTCTATGGCCTTTATTATGTTGAGGTACTTTCTCTCTATATTCAATTTGTTGACAGTTTTTTAAAATCATAAATGGATGTTGAATTTTACCAAATGCTTTTTTCCCCATCTACGGAGAGGACCATGATTTTTATCCTTTTTTGTTAAACTGGTGTAATACACTGATTGATTTTCAGATGTTGAATCATCCTTGCATCCTGGAATAATCCCACTTGATCATGTTGTATGGTCATTTTAACATACTGTTGAAGTTTTGTTAAGGATTTTTGCATCTATTTTGTACATCAGGGATATTGGCCTATAATTTTCTTTTCTTTAGGTGTCCTTGTCTGGCTTTGGTATCAGGGTAATGCTGGTTTCATAAAATGAATTTGGAAGCGGTTCCTCCTCTTTGATTTTTTGGAAGTGTTTGAGAAGGACTGGTATTAATTCTTTAAATGTTTGGTAGAAGTCATCAGTGAAGCCATATGGTCCTGGACTTTTGTTGGGAGGTTTTTGATTATTGATTCAATCTCCTCACTACTAACCAGACTACTCACATTTCACATTTCATCATGATTCAATCTTGGTAGGTATGTTTCTAGCAGTCCACTTCTAGGCTATCCAGTTTGTTGGCCAACAATCATTCACAGTAACATCTGATTCTTTGTATTTCCATGGTACAACTTGTAACACCTCTTTCCTTTCTGATTTTGAGGGCTTTTTTTGTGAGTCTAGCTAAAGTTTTATCAATTTTATCTTAAAAAGAAAAAAACCAGCTCTTAAGTTTCATTGCTCTTTCCTTTCTTCTACTAACTTTGGGCTTCATTTTTTTCCCCCTGAGATAGCAAGTTAGGTTGCGATCTTTGTTTCTTGATGTAGGCTTTTATCCCTATATACTTCCCTCTTAGACTGTTTTTGCTGTATCCCGTAAGTTTTGGTATGTTGTTTCCATTTTCATTTCTCATTATTTTAAAATTTCTTCTTTGACCCATTGGTTGTTCAGTAGGTTGCTTAATTTCCACATATTTGTGAAATTATTAGGCTTCTTGTAGTTGATTTCTAGTTTTATACCATTATGGTCAGAAAAGATGCCTGATACTGATTTCAGTCTTCTTAAACGTATTGACTTGTTTTGTGTCCTAACATATGATCTGTCCTGAAGAATTTTCCATGTGTGCTTGAAAAGAGTCTATATTCTGTTGCTTTTGGATGGAATGTTCTGCATGTCTGTTACATCCATCTGGTCTAAACATGTTATTTAAGGTCAGTGCTTCCTTATTGATAATCTGACTGGATGATCTATCCTTTTGATGAAAGTGGGGTACTAAAGTTCCCTGCTATTATTGTTTTGCTGTCTATCCTGTTAATATTTGCTGTCTATGTCTGTTAATACTTGCTTTATATATTTAGGTGCTCCACAGCTTTATTTGCACATTTTCTTTTCCATGTGTCCTAGAGATATTTCCATTTCAAACATCTTCATTTCCCTCATTTTAGTTTGCATAACTCAGAGCATTGCTATATCACAATTTATGTAGTCATTTGCTTATTGATGGACATCTGTCGGCATTTGGTTGAAAATACATTAAATTTATGGATCAGTTGACAACTTACAATATTTAAGACGTCCTATTCAGAAAGAAGTTACATCTGCTTACTAAATACTCATCTAATTTTCTTCATAAAGATCTTATACATGCTCCATCATCCATTAGCCACTTCGTTTCCCTGACAAGTAACATGTAGAGAAAGGGGGTGTGTGAAAAAGTAAGCACACTTATTCAGATGGGTAAAAACTGATTTTAGTTGTATTAATGGCCTCACTTTGCTTTAGAGCCCCTACTTTCACTAACGACAGAATTGGGGAGGAGAAGACAGATTCACCATTAAGGAACTCATCTTCCCTGGGCTTCACACTTTGCTTTGGGGTTCAGTATTTGATCAAATTGAAGTTCAAATTTCTGTCAGGCTGTTTCTCTTTTCGGAACCTCCTCACCCCATTTTCTTTATCAAGTTGGGAATCAGTGCATGGAAGGAACTCTTTCTTGCTGTCTTCTGAGTTTTTACTCGTTGTTCTTCCTATCACCTGTTACTGAACGTCCCTGCCTTAGTCCATGCCTTATCCTAGACTCTCCTGTCTCAACAGGAAGTCTGAGATCCTGTACACTGAAGTTTCCTTATTCCAACAGGCTCTCCTACCTCCATTAATTAGGAACATAGTTTTCACAGGAGCTTATACCCTGCAGCTGCTAACTGCAACTTCTCTATCCATTTCCAGTCTCCCTTACCCTATTGTACGCAAACCAGTGGAGAGAGGTTTGTATTAGTGAACTCAAATACCACGTATAAACATTCCCCAACTGGCCCCGCAGGCCCCAGAATCATCTGTTGTCAAGAGCTGCAGCAAAAGGAAATGCTACATCATGTACATACTGATCAAAGCTAACCCTCAGGGACTATTAATATCATAAACAGCAATAACTCTTTTCCTGGAAAAATGCCATAAAATTTAAGGGTGGTCTGTAATATAGAAAATGACATATTGGGGACTCCCCTGGCGGCCCAGTGGTTAAGACTTCACCTTCCAATGCAGGGGGTGTGGGTTTGATCCCTGGTTGGGGAGCTAGGACCCCACATACCTCGTGGCCAAAAAACCAAAGGAAAAAACAGAAGCAATACTGTAACAAATTCAATAAAGACTTTAAAAGTCGTCCACATCAAAAAAAATCTTAAAAAAAAATGTATTTCCCTTAAAAAAGCAGTTAGAAAATAATTCTGAGACCTTACTCTTAGGATATATAAGTTAAAAAAGTTATTAAAGAGTAATGCAAAAAGTATAATAAACTTTTTATTTTCATAAACTGTCTTTAAAAAAAACCAAAGAGAACTGGAATTAACCTTGGAAAGTCATCTCCAAGGCCTCTTAGCTTTCACACTAACAAATTCTTATAAGGACTCTCCTCACAGGAACCTACACCTAAATGTTTACCATAATGCCGTATTTCCACCCCTTTGCCCCAGGAATCAAGCAAAAAGGGAAAGACTCATATTCATGAATAAATGGAAGCAATAATTTATAATAGAAATAAAGCCAATAGACAACTGCAGAAAAAGTTATTTTGGTGAAAAAAAGTAGTTGGCAATTGAAAAATGTTATTTCTCCAATAAGACACCACATAACAAAAACAACAGACCTTTTCCTACACATGAAAACAAAGGTCTCAGTTATAGAAATGACACACTACTGCAATCCAACTTTTTTTAGGCAAGAAGCACACTAAACAAAGGGATAAAACCTGCGTTGGTATAAAAGGAATGTGACATATGAGGCAATCAACTTGGTTCTTCTTCCTCAGAGTAAATCTTCCTGAATCATCACTCCCAGAAGCACTTCTCTGGCTAGTAGAGCTCCACCCAGACTCCACGCCAGAGGTGGAAGGCCAGTTTCTCTGGTTACTTTCAATAGCTCAATCTTCAAGCAAGTAGTTAGGGTTAACTACTAAGTAGGGATCTTCTTCATAGCTCTCACTTCCTTCTGTGGAGCCTTTCAATCCAGCTTGGGTGAGCTCAATTAGAACATGATCCTATGAAACACAAACGTTTGTCCTCAGTTCTCCAGCAGTATTATAAGAATGCTAAGATACACAGGACTTGGACTTGACCCTTCTTCTGAATATTTGTGACTAACATTTTCTTTCATTTCCCCCCAGAAACTCTCTCAGAAAAAGGACTATATCTTAAAGTCAATATCAAGCTTCTGCTAAGTCACCTTCCCATTAGGATATAGACTTTTTCATATCATAAACTTCTTTTGAAAAATTAAGAAATACATCAGTAAGACTGACGTTGTGATTTTAATCAGGTTCCCTAGCATATATATCAACTACTTATAAATATAACTTCAAAAAAGAACATATGAATTTTACAATCATGCAATTGTATAAAATCCTCTGATAAGTATGTTTATGATTCTGTTTATCACTCTGATAAGTGTTTAATTTCACTTAATATTATGTTAATTTTTAATTATTGGCCACTGAACTCTTTTATATACCATCCATTCATAATTTAGTTAGAAGTAGAATCTAAAGATAATTAACATGAAACAATTTTCCCTCTGACCTATTAACTAATTAAAAAAAGCAGAACATGCCATGTGGCTTAATAAACTTGATGACAGATTTGAAGCCATGATGTAACTATAAGTCTAATACGTCCACAAATGAGAAAGGCTCCTACCGAAGGCCCATACAGAGGAACTCAGGAAATAGTGATGTGATCCTAAGAAGGTGGAAAAGGCCCACAGTATAAGCACTAATTCCACTAAGAGGGATTGGACACTTTCAAGCACTCACTCTATGTACTAACACACCTTCACAGGAAGCATATTTGATTAGCACAGTACAAGTTCCTTAGTCTTCTGTACTGAGTTGGCTCAGGCGGTGAGTCAAACTTAAAAAGGTAAGCCCAATTTAGATCAGTTAATTTCACAACGTGTCCAAATGTGGATTTCTTGCATGGACCATCTTATCTTACACTGATCCCAGGGCCACAAGGGAGGGAAGGGCTGGCCTGATGCAAACACATTGCCCACCACTAACTAGATAGACAACTCTGAGCACAACGCCACCCCAGTTCAGCTTTATTTTTATACATATTATTCATTAAATTTTGAATGGAATAGTTCTTCCCACACCCCCACACCTGTAACCATAGACTCATCTAGTTCTATAGGGAAATAATTTTTCAGATGACAAACCCTGATATGTGACAACTATAATATTTATATAGTGAGCATTGTGAAGTCAACTGCAATCTCTGCCATTTGAACAGAAAAATTCAATCATTTAACAAGTAATTGAGCCCTCTATGACTTAGGCACCACTGTAGATTCTGGGGACACAGTGGCTAAAGAAACAAAGTCCCTGTCCTCATGGTGCTTGCATGTTAACAAGAGAGACAAAATAAACACCTAAATAAAGACTATACTGCCAGGCAATGATAAGCACTATGAAGAAACAAAGCAGGGTAAAGGGGTGACAGCAAGGAAGAGGCTATTTTGACTGGCCAGGCAAGAATAACTTCTCCGAGAAGGTAACATTTGAGCACACCTCAGAATGGAGGATGGAATATGGGCAAAGAAACAAAGGGCATGTACAAAGGCCTTCATGCTTGGTGTGTCTAAGGAACAGTGACAAGGCCAGTGTCACTAAGCAGAATGGGCAAGGGGAAGAGGCTATGAAAAGAGGTGAATGAGGTGGGCAGGGGCTTGCTTGTGTAGGGTTCTGCAGGCCACGGTACGGAGACTGGATTTTATTCTAAATGTGAGAGAAGGACTAGAAGGAAGGGCACTAAAACAATTTGATTTGTTAAAAGATCTGTCTGGCTGCTGGGCAGAGAGCCACTGCAAGGGAGGACAGTTAGGAGGCACCCATGGAGGTCCAGGCACGGTGGCTTGGGTAGATGTGACGGTGGTGAGAAGAAAACAGAGAATACTGATACTGAAGGCAAGGCTCACAGGATTTGCTTATAAAAGGAGAGAAGTTGTGAGGGGAAAGAGAAGTCAAGGAATCAAGGATAATTCTAAGGTGCCTGGCTTAAAAGCAAATGAGTAAGTGAAACATTGCAAGGAAAAACTGTTTTGAACACATTAAGCGTGAGACGCCTATTAATTTGCAAGTAGGCAGCTAGCTACATACATTAGCAATTTAGAGGACAGGTGAGAGCTGGAGATATAAATATGGGAGTCATAACAAATGGTTTTTAATTCATAGAACCAAATGAGATCACTTAGGCAATGAATATAAATAGAAAAGAGGTCTGAGAACTAAGCATAATACTTCATTTAAAAAGTGACAAGAGAAAGACTCAGGAAAAGAGAATAAGAGGAAATAACCAGTGAGAAGGAGAAGACCCAGGAGAACATGGTGACTCAGAAGCCAAGTGAACAAAGTATTTCTAGAAGGAGTGATCAACTTTTTTTTTTTTTTTTTTTTTTTGCGGTACATGGGCCTCTCACTGCTGTGGCCTCTCCCGTTGCAGAGCACAGGCTCTGGACACACAGCCTCAGCGGCCATGGCTCACGGGCCCAGCCGCTCCATGGCATGTGGGATCTTCCCGGCCCGGGGCACGAACCCATGTCCCCTGCATCGGCAGGCGGACTCTCAACCACTGCGCCACCAGGGAAGACCAGGAGTGATCAACTTTGACAGATGCTGCTGACAAGCTGAATACTGAAAATAATCAACTGATTGGAGTAGTGAGAAGGTATGTATGTAATGGTCCTTTAAGAGAGTAGGAGAATGAACTGCCTAGGGAAAAGTAATAGCATCGGGCAGTGCTACTGTGAGGTCAGTACTACTGTGACGTTGATAAGACAGAAGTAAAGAATTGTCCATTTGAGATTTGTGGTCATGAATTTAAAATAAAAGTGGGCACATGGTTGTATGCTTTTCTCCAGATACTTTTAACTGCATAGATATAGGTATAGAAAACGAATTAGATTGAACCAAATCTGGAATTTTGCCAAGCAAGTAATATAAAAGAGAATGAATGAAGTTGAAAGTATAAGAAAAAAGTGATCATGGGATAGATTTTAAGCTGGGTAATGAGGGAGATAACATGAGGAAGGATAAAATGCAGAAAATAGGTGACAGTGGTCAGGACGCTCAAAGGTTTATGGTAGAGTGGAAAACAAAGGTTAAAAGCACACAAATAATAAGACCCTAAATTCACTTTACCAGCTTTAAGTTCTGCTTATTTTAGCAGAAGAAATAAGTCAATTAACTGTTAATAATTCTCTCTTGTTTTATACAACTCCTAATTCTGACTAGATCCTAATGATTCAAAATAAATGAACATCTAATGAACCTACAAAGATTTGAGGCATGAACTCCTTCTGTAATACCTCAGCAAGCTTAATTATATACGTACATAGTGGGTGAGTCGATAAATGACTTTCTCTATGATTCTCTTTTTATTTATCAGCTCCTCTTCAGAATCTATTTCTGATTCGATTTCCTTCAAGTACCAATTAACAAGCTCACTCCTCTTTAATGCCGACTCATCCTCTTCTGTAACAACAAAAAATACATTTAAAAAGGATTAAATTATCCTTGTAGCAAACTGTATTGCCAATTCTTGGAGTCTGCATGCACAAGATAATGTACAGATTAGATAACCTTTAATCTGTCAGAAAACATATCTGCTGAAATAAGATTTGCAATCTTCCAGCATAAGCCTGAAAAATATTACTTGAATTAAAGTATGCCTTACTTTATCCTGAAAAGAAAAATCTAAAAAAATAGAGATTATAAGAAACAAGTTTCTTAAAGCTATAACGACTTCAAAGTATGAAGGTGTTTCCTTCACCTTCTCATGCTTCACCACCTATGATAATCTGTCAACAGCAGTTGAAAGCGTAAATTAGGAATGAAGTCACAGCAAGCAAAACTGCTTAAATACAACTATTCCTCTTTGGAAAGGGGAACACTTTATGGAATTGAGGTCAACCAAGGAGTGAAATCCATAGGTGTTCACTCAAAAATAAAAAATTACCAATTTATTCCAGCAAGGTCTATCCTTATTGACTGAACTACCTGCCCTTTAGAGTCCAGAACTCTAAATTCACAAGAGAAGTTGGAACCTGGCAATATTTTAAACTATCACAGATATAAAGTACACTAAAAGAAAACTTCATTTGTCTTGATTTTAGAAATTGCTAATAAAATACAAAATCAAAATAGGAAAATTTTAGCTTTACTGATGATGCCTCTGAAAAGTTTTATTATGGTTGTACTGAAATTTCAGTGGTTTGTCCAAATGCTTTTGAGTAAGTAATCTCTTTGGTTTACAGTTTAAAGTTTTGCCAGGGGACTTCCCTGGTGGTCCAATGGTTAAGACTCTGCACTCCCAATGCAGGGGGACTGGGTTCCATCCCTGGTTGGGGAACAAAGATCCCACATACCGCAATGAACCCACGTGCCCTAGAGCCCATGTGCTGCAACCAGAGAAGCCTGAGAGTGGCAACGAAGACCCAGAGTAGCCTAAATAAATAAATGAACTTTAAAAAAAATAAAGTTTTGTTAGAAAACAGCTGTCTATCTGAAGACTGAGAATTAATAACTTACCTGGCTGGGTGAATAGCGTCTTTTTTCTTTTTTTAGGGAAAGGAGGAAGACCTAGAATTTATCTGTGGAATGCACTGTGTGGGTGCTAATCGTATCTTTGCTCCATTGATGGTTGGCCATGTTTAAAACTTAGTTGCATGAGAGAGAGAAAGAATAAGTACAACATGAACACAGGAATGTTTGCTCCCAAATCTTTTTATGTGAGAAGGGACTGGAACTAAAACCTCTCTGTCCTACTGGCCTCTTTACTGCCTTCTTTCCTCCTTCCCACTGGTCCACAGTTCCCAGGGGAATGAGGGCAGAAACTAAAGGGCTTAAATCTTTTAGTAAGCTAAGACAATCTCTGGTGTTCTCTTCCTCCATCGCAGTTAGGACACTCTGATGAGAATATGTCTGGAAGCCAGCATACTGACAGTCAAATAAGAATTTTTTGATGGTTAATCACCAAACTGAAGTTTAAATTCAACCCCTTGATTTAATCACTTTTCCTTCTGCCTTGTGGTTAATTACAGGTTGAGAAAACCTGGATAGCATGGTAAAGCAGTTAAGAACAGGAAGGGTAGTAATGTTCAGGTATCACACTTTACCTACAGAGAAATGAGGATTTTACTTCATTTCTAGTCTGGAATGTACTTGTGCTAATAGTCTTTTGAGTTTCAATTACTTGTCTATGATATATAAATACTCTAGGAGTCCATCCATTTTAAACAAACCCATTGTAAGGAAAAGTGACTTTGCATCTGTAAAAACATTTGTTAAGTGCGTCTTTATATATTATCAGATCCCAAATTCAGCTTCACAAATATTAAAATAGGCCAAGGACATTAATAAGAATGAGTCATAAACCTTTGACAATGAACTTGTGGGGAAATGTCTGGGCTGGTAGATATGCTGACATTCCCTAGTAGATTTTGTTTGCCAAAGTGAGCTTGTCTAACAGTTTCTCATCTCTTCTGACAAAATAACACAATCTTTAGCAATCAGAAGTTGTTAGCTGATTCACTTTGTCATAAAGCAGAAACTAACACACCATTGTAAAGCAATTATACTCCAATGAAGATGTTAAAAAAAAAAA